CCCTACCGTACCCGTATCCATAAATTTTTAGTATTACGGTTTTCCGTTCCGCTACTCGTCTCCGTTTCTTGTCCCCGTATCGATTTCAGTGCAACCTAGAACAATTGTCTTATACCGCATGTTATTTTTTACCAATCAAATATTGTTTCATTCTGCTTTTTTTATTTAAATTATAATTGTTCCGCATAATGTATTTTTTCCCATGTATTTTTCCCCATGAACTAAACCTATACCATATCATACTGCACCACATAATTTTTTTTCCCGCGCCGTTTAATAATCTCAAAAAAAACTAATAAGGATAAAATATAATTTTTGTAAAAAGATAAACTTATTATATGCGTGTGCGGTTTATTAATATCTAGGTGTCAGATAAAGATTAAAAAATGCCTTTTTCAGTTTTCAATCAATTTAAAAAGTAGAATAAAAACTCGTATTCGTCTTATATAAAGGAATCGATTCTATACAGTACTTTCGCAATTTGATTCGACATAGTACTAAATTATTTTTGGTATATGTTCGATTAAGTTAGATTCCAAAACTGTGTTTGATCTCATCTTCTGGGAGCATAAGAAGATAATAATACGGTGCACCTTACCGTAGGTAGATAATTCCATATAAGCAAGAATAAGAGAATTTCTATTAGTTGTATGAGAGGATATAGCGGAGGCCTTTTTCGAGCGGCTCTGACGTATTTATGTGTATTGAATGGTGTGCAACCCTCCAATCGGATAAATACTCTTATTATAAAAATATCTTAATTAAATGTATTTTGTGGATTCTTATAGCATTAATTATTTATCTTTCTGTATCAACTATCAAGTGAGTAGTGACCACTCATGCTTTATCTTCCTCCCTCTTGTTCCCTTTTGCATGTTGCATGATTAAAGGATAGTAAATAAAGGTAAATATAATATATTTTTAATATTATAAAAATTTTATATTTATTTAAATTATTTTTAAGTTTTTAAAAACATGATTATGAATGGTAAATAAGAGTAAATATAAAAGATTTTTAATATTATAAAATTTTTATATTTATCCAAACTATTTTTGGGTTTCTAAATATAAAATCTATATTACTCATATTTAATGGGTAAATATAACATTTTTCTCTATTTCTCTCATCTTTCTCTTTATATTCATCAGTCCTAATACAATTAATATTATAAAATTCATATCTTACCTATAATCATGCTCTAAATATAGAATTTATATTACCCGTATTTAGTGGATAAATATAACA